ACTGATTCAGAATACGAGATTGTCGGTATTATTACCATGTCCAAGCCTTTTTTTGTACGGAGATCTGAGAGAGATACGGTAACAGAGCGCGAGCAGATCGAGGCTGAAGAAGAAGCTCTTAAGGAATTAGCAAAGAGAAAACTTGAGATGAGAAAAACAGAGACAAAGCAAATAGTAGTTGAGGAAGTTAGGAAATACCAAGAGATGAGGAAAAACATGGCATTGGCAGAAGCAAACCTTAGAGATCTGGAAACCGATGACGAAATCGATGAAGCTGAGGAGTATGAAGCTTGGAAAACAAGAGAGACTGCTAGGATCAAGAGAGAAAAAGATGCCAAGGAAGTTATGTTGAGAGAGAAGGAAGATATAGACAAGTTGAAGAACATGACAGAGGAAGAGGGGAAGAATCCGAATCCAAAACCTTTATCATCAACTCAACCGAAAAAGAAATGGAAATTCATGCAAAGGTACTACCACAAGGGTGCTTTCTTCCAAGAGGATGATATATTTCAGCGCGATTTCTCTGCTCCAACTGGAGAWGATAAYTTGGARAWATCGAAACTGCARAAAATCRTYCAGGTCAAGAAGTTTGGTCACAGTGGAAGAACTAAATGGACTCACCTTCTCAATGAGGATACAACAGGTAAAGGTAACCAGTGGACTTTGATTGATCCTCTATGCGAAAAATACAAGAGAATGGCAGGCATGGATGCTCTTATAGTCTTATTGCAAAACCAAAGGGGAGCAAGAAGATGAAAGCTTGGGAATATTGATTGTAGGAGTAACATGAAACAAAACAACTGATTGTTATTTCTTGTAGCCACTAACTTTTATCTTCTTCAATGTAATGATTCATAAGTTTGTGTTCAGCACAACTGATACTTTGTACAACTGATACTTTGTAGTAAATATAGCTCAGTTTGGGTTTTCAATTCGGATAACAAATTTGAAAGAGGGCAATAGTTGTCTTCTCTTAAACAGCAAAAAGGTTTCAATTTCTGAACTAACGTTTGCAAAATTCTCCAAACTTGTAACATAACCAAAATCATTAATCAGATACTCATAAATCTGAAGTTGAACAAGTCGTAGGATAATAATTTGAAACAACATCAAGCAGTGCTCRCTTTCTTGAGCTTTGCAAGCTCTTGCCTTACCACACCAGCCCTCTAC